CAATGCATTTTCGGCCTTAAAGCGGCCGCCATTTGGCTATCGTTAATCGGATCATGAAAAAAATGCATGTGCACATGTCCCATATAATGTGTGATGTATGAGTGAAGTTTGAACTAAATCAGTCCATGCATGTTCGAGATACAGGTGATCACGAACGCACGGACGCACACAGGGCAAACCATAAGTCCCCGTTTTCGGACGTCCAAACGGGGACTAAAAATGTAGGGAGAGAATTATGCAAGTTTACAATGGTGACAAAAATTACTTTGGTTTTCAAACAGCTAAGGAAGAGTGTGGAGTAGACAATTTTGATCATACATGTATAGGAATTTTAGTCAGAGTTTGTTACTTCTTTCCTCGTGAGATGAACATGAACTTGAAGCTCAGATACGAAGTTGCGGCTCTCCTAAATTAACTATAAACAATAGATACTGAATTAGGAAGCCTTGTTTTCCCTTGAAGGTCAGTCACATTGTAGATATGGGGGTTTTTTTTTGGGGGGGGGGGGCACACTAGTTCCCTCAAAATGAAATAGGCAGAAAAGTATTTTTTGCTTGTTCTTGGAGAGATGTTTCATTTTTTGCAAAGTGGAAATGCAACTTTAAGCAGCTCACTTGTACAACTGCTGCATTCCCTAGTGATGTTAACATTACAGAGATCACCATACAAGTGGTAATTAGATCTGGTGCTACTGAACTGAAGAAAGTGGTATCAATAGACGACTACATATCAATTTTATCCATCAAGGTAAATCCATTCTCTATCAGACCGTCACCAGTTTAAATAAAAATATTAAAACCATAATTAATTAACCGAATATGTTTAGATAATTATTTAGATAATTAGGTCAATAACGTTTTCATCAAAAATGAATTTTTCAGGAGTTTTATATTAAACAGTATTACTAATCTTACCTGCTGAGAGTGAAATGAGATAAGAGTTATATGACCAAACCTCATGTTTATAAATTATAACATGGTCACAGGTGTTGATTTCTGAATACAGGTAATAATTATTTCTCTAGCAACAATACAAAATGTATATTCCTACATTTTATTCATAATTTAATTTTGTTGTGGTTAACTGTGGAGCATCAGGGCATTCCATGTGTGTAATGAGTGTGTGTTGGCACCTGCAGGTACATTGTCAATCGCCCATGCCCCCCCCCCCCCCAAAAAAAAAAACAGTAATGCAGTCTTATGGAGTGATGTAAATTGATATGAGAATGGCCAATTACTTGTCAAGTAGTGAAGGCATTACATTATGATTAATTCTAGAAAAAAAAACATGTTTTTAATCATTACGTGAATATTTGTTCATGAAATAAAATTTTATTGACAATTTTTAAATAACAAAATTTGCATGCACATCTATTTTGGAAAACAAATTGATCAGAAACTGACTGACATTATTCCTCTATAATTTTTGTTATTTTAATTTTTTTTTTAAATTGGTTATTGGAACCTACAAAGCACTTTCTGCTGTGAAATATAGAAGAATTCATAGCTCGTGTGTGTATCGGTACAGTGACAATAGAAGTTATACTTAAATAATCAACTTTGGTAAACTACCAGGGTCTGTCCTAGGGATGCTAAAGTCACAGGTCATTACCAATCTCATAAATAAATACCATGAGTAAAAGTTGTGAATGTCCCAGTACCTTTATCAGTGTTTGATAAAGTGTACATGTATCAGTCTCCATACCAGGGATATTTTACACCCACTTAGAAACATTCTATGGCATTCTGGATTACTTGTGAATCAGTGAATGCATTTAAAATGAACAACACTGCTAACATTCGATCATAACATGATGAAACTCACATTGAATCCGTGACCACCATGGACTAACACAGTGAGATGTTACAGCCACAGTCAGCTGTGGTGGACTCTGGTTCAACTCAGGAGGGCTGTTTACTTGCTCTATGTAGTATAGTGTAATACCGGTAATATGATTAGACTTGATATATCCTTTTTACAAGAATCAAGTCAATCCTGGATTTGAAGTAACTATAGCCTAGGTGTATTTCAAAATCTGTACATGTATTACTTGTGACTGCATTACTTATTTACTAGAATTTAATTTTGCTATTTTTGCTGACAAGTGAAATCCACTGAATTAAATTCAATGTGATTATTATTGAGCTTGTTCATTATTTCAGTGAATAAAGTCCCAAGTGCATTATGGTACTCCCATAGTGCATTGTGGAAAAGGTCTTGTTACTTTTCCCTAGAGAGACAAAAGAAATGTTCTCATAGAAGAGAAAATGATGTCATCATTACTGGAAGTTTTTCAGTGTAAGTGATTCTTTTGCCTGTTTTAACAGGACATTTTGACATGCAACATTCCCATCCAATTATATTTTAGTAGGCAGTTGTACCTAAACTTAGGCACATAAATTATTACTATAATCTAACATAACCGACCAGACATTTATAAAAGTACAAACTCAATTTTAGATAGGTCTTTGGATCTAAACTGGCAATATCTAAGATTTTGAGAACCAAACTAAAAATGTCAATAGTTTTTCACCCATCAACTTTATGACTGAGGGAGAGTTATCTGAATATTTATTTTTTAAGCGAGTGAAGCCGAGGAATCAAGGGGCAAGGAATCCCTAATTCTAATGGTTTCTAATATAGGAAATGTGTTTCTTCAGCCTCTCCAGGTATGAATTTATTTAGTAATAGGACCATTGTATTTGAACACAATGAAATGGAATGAAGTAACATAGTCATGTTTGAGGTCAACAATCTACACAACAATAGAAATTGTTGACAACTTGTTGAACTTTGTATTTTGTGACCATACACTCGTCAAATAAAAGTGTATACAATTTTAAAATACAGGTCATAAAAAGTGACTCAATAAATTTCATAATCTTCAAATTTAAATAAGTATAAAAAAAAATTAATAAATGAATATCTGATATTGTTAATATGTATCACATTCCTAACTCTAATAATAGTATAACCCTGATTTATAAACTACGTGTTAGCTAAATCTCTGATACAGCGACTGCTACACAATAATATTCAATGTCCTTGCCAACACAGGTAGCGTCAAGTTTACACAAAAACAAAAGAAATCCGACACAGGATATTCGTAAAGTCGTCGAAAAGTCAGGTGACTGTTCATAAACTGCCTGACAAAAATTCTTGGTTTTTGTTGGGCGACGATAACTAAGTGGTTTTAGGTGAATCGGCAACAAACACGGCCAAGTTAACAAACCACGCACACTGTTGGTACATCCCGATACTGTAACCTCGTGTCAATAATATTTCAGGGCTTGGCACCTAAATATGTTTGTGTATGCAAGACATCGCCATCTCAAATATCCCGAACGCAACTCTGACATAACAAGTACGGTCACACAAACATGTTTCTGTATATTTCTCACCTCGGGACAGGTCTTTTCTTCCCTCTTCTCTTTCGACGATTCCTCTCGAGATGCCATTGATGTTCGGGATACTACGGAATATGCTGACTCTTCCGCGTAACAGATTAAGTTTCAATCAAGGAACGGGACAGTATCGAATTTCTAGAGCAGACCACTCCGCCATTTTCATTTCCGTAGAAAGATCCGAGCATGCGCTGTTATTTTTGAAGGACACCACGTGATTGTTGCCCTGCTCAATGTTTATTTATGTTTTCTTTTACCAATTTCTTTTTCACAGAGATGTAATTTCTCGCCTCTTTGAACCTAAAGCATATGTGTTTTGTTTACTCTGTACATAAGGTTTTTGCATATACAACCGTAGCTAAATAATTTAAATCCAAGATTACAGTTTTATTTCAAAATAAGCGTTCTGCTTCTGAAAGATGCGATAAAGATAAAATGTTAAATTTCGCTGGAAATGTAGCGAAATGATTAGCGGGTTGCTTTGCAGTAGCAAGTTGAAAATGTTTAGAAAGATGCACTTAAAGTGATCGATTGAGGGCGTTTTTGACCCAGATTTTCGGCCCTGTAAAATACTTTATTTTTCCTATATGTTACATGCAACTTGTCAAAAATTAGTGAAAATAAAATCCAATAAAACACCAAAAAAGTATTTATTTATTTGTTTGTTTGTTCGTTTATGAAGACTGGCAATTGTCTCTGAAAACTTTTATAAATAATCTTTCACCTGTTTCAAGTGACATTAAAAGAAAATTGAACTAGAACAAAGAAAATACGTTTCAACCAATCAGATACTAGTACAATTATAAAATATTTGAGTTTTGATCCTGGCGCAACATGCACGAATTGCCGCCGATGACGCCATCGATACATTCCAATCACCATGGAAATTACACAGCTAAATCTTAGTGACGTTTACAGCGCTGTAAGTTTGTACTCGTTGGTCTGCGCAACAGTCAAAACCGCCATCTTTGTTCATATGAGTCCCATATCTCCGCATGCGTGGCGCGACGACCACTGCCCTTTAAAGTATTTTTATGAGTCTGACAATTCTTGGTATTCATATTCATTTAATCATTAGTTGAGATAATAATCACCCCGATAATAATAATAATAACTTTATTACTCAACAATTACCATCTGTGGGTAATGTATGGTAAGACAAATACAACAATAAAGAGAAAATTACAATAATATTACTATCCTCGGGGGCGGTCATCCGGGCATTTTCACCGCCTGGCAACCCGCGGCGGTGAAAACAAAGGCCCAAAACTCGCAGAAAACGGTACTTTGGGGTGATTGTTGAGACTCCTCTGAACAGTGCAACAAGA